TTTTTCGAGAAGTTAACATATCACTTCTCATTTTATATATGTCATTCTCTAAATATGACACAGTTATGAAAATGTCTTTGAAATATATTGAAATTTTTGAAATTTTCAGTTTTATATTGGAAATTTCGCACAAATAACGGAAATTTTGTTAAATTTCCAAGTTTTACCTGTCATTTGATTGTTACTAGAAATTTGAAGTTTCCGGTATTGGATATTCCAAATTTCTAGTGTTTTTCATCATTAAAATAATAAATCAGAAATTTGAAATTTCTGATGTATGAAAAATATGAAAATTTCAAATTTTTCAGTATTTTTTTTACTCTAAATACAAATCAGAAATTTAAAATTTAACTCAAATTACTGATACATCGAAAATTTTAAATTTTTAATAAAAATATACTTATAAAACTTTTATAAAACTTATCAAAAATTATAAAATTTTCAATAAATTGTAATAAAAAATTTCAAAATTTCTAACATATTATTAGTATTGAAAATTTGTTGAAGGTAAGAATTTCGGATATCCGATAAAAATCAATACTAAAAATTAAGGTGACGTGTTAATTTTTCTTTCTTTTCGTGTCATGTTCAAATATGCAAGTCAACGTAGTATCTTTAGTGGGCCACATCATATGTAAGCAAATCACGTGAGAGTTTGCTAAATAAGTATAAACTAATTTTAGAACTATATTGATTATTTTACTTAATAGATAAAAATAAAAACTAGAGATCTTTTTATATATTTAATAGTGGTGATTTTTATTATTGAAAATTTAAAAATACTTTTTAAATATATATTTTCGAATACACTTTATAAATTTAAAATATTAGATTATTTTGGATATGCATATTCGAATGAACTTTTATTTTTTATTTTCAGGGAGATTTCAGATATGCATATCCGAAATAATTAATATCTTTAATATTTTTAATTTTATTTTAAAAAAATATTTATTTATAATATAATTATAATATAATTAAATTAAATTATTATTAATAAAAAATAATTTATATTTATAATTAAAAATTAAATATTAAAGTAAATTTAAGATATGAAATTAAATAATGAATGCAATAATTAAATTACTAATTATAATGGTGAAATGTAATAATTGATATATTTTCTATAAAATAAAATCTAACTAATTAATCTCGACGTTTTAGACTTTGCGTTCATGTGTCTTTGACATTTATTTTGATATACAAAATTCATCTCATTTTATTGTAAAATTCAGATATGCCTATCTGAACCCACTTTTTTCGTAAAAAAATGAAGTGTATTTGGATATGCATATCTGAAACCACTTCATTTGTAAAAAATGAGGTGCTTTCGGATATGCATATCCAAATTCTAGAACTATTTTGGATTTTTCGTTAGAGATCTATAAAAAGAGTACTAAGTGTGAAAAGAAATTCTCTAAAAATTAATGTGAAACTTTTCCCGCCACATAGACTAAGTTCCAATAAAAAGAATAGTTATATACTGTTGAAAGTAATTCATATTCAAAAGATGTTGTTATTCAGAAGAAGTAGAGCTTCTGAGATTGTTAGCCTAAAGTTGTAAGCTTTTGAGACTGCTTAATTACAAACAATATTTTGATGAAATAAGAAGTTATTATTAATCAGAAGCAGAAGCTTCTGAGATTACGCCCAGAGTATGCTTAGCTTCTGGGATTCTAGAGGTGAGTTTGTTAGCGTAGCTATTAAGTTTAGTATTTTCTAGTTTGTACCATTTAACTTATTCATTAAGTTTATTTTTATTAGGGCCTACGTGATAATTTACTTTGTGTATAAATAGATTAGTAGTATCAATCATTTGTATCATTTCTTTTGTAAGCTTTATAGCTGTCATTGTAGTAAATATATTCTCTCTTACTTTTCCTTCATTTATTAACCTTGTGCACCAATAAATTGGTATCTTGAGCTCCGATTGTGATTCTAGGGAAACACAGGGAAACACGAGTGAAACATGAGGCGTTGTGTGATCAATTTTGGTTATGGGTTCGTGTTGAATATTTGAACAAAATTATAACAAAATCACATTTTCTAATTCAGTGACATTAGGAAATATTGTATTTGTGATATCTGAGTGTTCTGTACAAGGTTGAAGATGATCGGAAATGGTAGTCTAAGCATCAAGCTTCCAGCATTTAATGGCAAAAACTGAAATAGTTTGATGATTCAAATGTGTGTGTTGTTTGGTGCTCAAGATATTCTTGAGCTTGTTACAAATGGTTACGTTTCAGTTGCAGCAGATACGATGGAAGAACAGAGAAATGCACAGAGAGATACAAGAAAGAAAGATCAGAAGGCGTTGTTCTTCATCCATCAGTGTATGGATGAGAACATGTTTGAGAAAATTGCTAATTCGACAATGACGAAGATTGTGTGAGACACACTGAGTAGGTGTTACGGTGGCGACGCATCAATGAAGAAGGTGAAGCTTCAATCTCTCAGAAAGCAGTATGAGAATCTCAATATGAAGGACAACGAGAAGGTTTCTGAATATATCTCTAGAGTGATTCTAATCACTAATGAGATGAAAGCTTATAGAAAAACCCTTTTTGAACAAGTAATCATTGAGAAGACCTTAAGGTCACTTACTCATCAATTTGATTACACTGTTGTAGCAATTGAACATTCTAAAGATCTGGATACCATGAGAATAGAAGAGCTGCAAAGCAGTCTAAAGGCGTAAGAGTTGCGCCTGACTGAAAGAACTTCTGGGAGGGAAGTTGAGCAGGCTCTGAAGGCTTCTTTTGTCAACAAGAACCAGAAGTAGAAAAAACATGATAGGTTTCAGAAGTCAGAAGTCTTCTATTTTGATGAGAAGAAATATCAGAAAGGAAATGAGAAGTATGGCAAAAGAATGGTTCAGTGTTACTGTTTTAACAAGTCTGGCCACTTTGCTAAAGATTGTTGGTCAAACAAAGAAGAAGTAAAAATAGACAAAGGAGATTCTGATGACGCATTATGCTATTGATGGCTTATGAATCTGCTGAGTAACCTGTGAGATTGTCATTTCCTGATTTTGAAGGGGAAGAAGATGACTCTGAATATTCCGACTTGAAGGAGTGTTTGAATATGAGTCAGAATCAAAAGATGACGCTGAAGATTCTGAAGATGAGTCAGAATCTGAGGTTTCTGAAGATGAGTCAGAGTTAGAAGATGACTCTGAAGATGAAGAAAAGTCAGAATTCGAAAGTGATTCTGAGTCTGAAGAAGAATCAGAAGATGAGTCAGAATCTAAAGAAGATTATGCTTCTGAAGATGAATCAGAACCTGAAGGTTCTGAAGACGAGTCAAAACTTGAAATTTATGAAGAAGATCTAGAGTCAGAAGGTGAAGAATCTTCTGGAGACTCTAAAGATGAGTCAGATGGTGAATCTAATTCTGATCCATATTTTGAATCTGGTGGTGATCATGCTTCTAGAAGAAAAAACTATGAAGAAGTAGGTTCTCGAGGACAAGATTATGAAGATGATCATGTTTCTGGTGGAAACCATGTCTCTGAAGGTGGACCTTCTGAAGGATGAGCTTCTAAAGATAATCCAACATTTGACAGTAATCGTGATTCTGACAGTGGAATTTTTGAAGGAAGAGCATCTGAAGGTGATCCAACTTTTGAAGATGGTATTTTTGAAGATAGTTGTTATGAACGAGGTCCAGAAGCTAACGAAGGTGGAGCTTTTGGTGGTAGTCAAACTTCTGAAGAAAGTCTAGAAGGAGATATTGTTCTAGAATCAGAAGGAGATTTTGAATAAGTACAGAGGCCACATAGAGTCATAAATATACCAAGAAGATTTGCAGAGTTTGACAAGATGCAAGATACTGAAAGAACTCTAAGGTATGAAGTGTTATTCCCTTCTGATGTTAGATCAGATGCAAAACTGATATGCTATTCAGTCTCTAATTTGTATGGAGACAAAGTTGACAAAAGAAATACTTCTGAGTACTTTTGTTTGTATCTGGAAAGTCCTATTTTCTTGGTGCTCCAAGAAGCAACTGGTGGTTGCGTTTTCAACCCGTGAAGCTTTTAAGAAGAAAGTGTGACTGAAGGCCATGAAAGAAGAGCTTGGTGATATTGAAAGAAACACAGTTTGAGAATTAATTGAGCTTCCGAAGGAGAAGAAAAACATCATCGTCAGATGGGTTCTCAAGGAGAAATCTGCACTTCTAAATGAAGTATTATAAGTTGTACACTAACAACCAGAAGCAACTTGCAGATGTTCTGACGAAGGATGTCAAGACTGAACACTTTATCCGTTTGAAGAATGAAATTGGTGTTGAAGAGTCTTGGTTAGCTGAATATGAGTTAAAGGATGGCGTTTGAAGTAATTCATATTCAGAAGATATTGTTATTCAAAAACAGTAGAGCTTCTGAGGTTGTTAGCCAGAAGCGGCAAGCTTATGAGACTGCTTAGTTAGAAGTAGTTTTTGATGTAATCAAAAATTGTTATTAATCAGAAGCAGAGGTTTCTGAGGTCACGCCCAAAAGTATGCTTAGCTTCTGAGATTCTGGAGCTGAGTTTGTTTGTTAGCGTAACTGTTAAGTTTAATATTTTCTAATTTCTACCTTTTAATTTAGTCATTAAATTTACTTTTATTAAAGCCTACGTGACAATTTACTTTGTGTATAAATAAATTAGTAGTAACAATCATTTATATCATTTTTTTATAAACTTTATAATCGTTATTGCAGTAAATATATTATCTCTTATCTTTCCTTCATTTATTAACCTTATACACCAACTTATAATGTTCCAAGATTTGTTTCCAAGATTATATGAACAAAGAATAAACTGTTAATATGCAAGTATTGAAAGGTAAAGTAAAGAAAACAAAAAGAGCTGTAGAATAGCTGGCAATGTCTGTGTCTGAACCGCTTATGTGACCAAAATAGCAAAGAACCACCGAATAAACTTAACTAACTTAAATGCTAAACCACCTTCACTGCTATTAAAACCCACAAAACACTCACCCAAATCACACTCTTCAAAATGAACTTGTGTTTCATTTTCTGTTTGATTTCAACGTCCCTCGTTTTCACTTTCGTCTCTGCCGGAAGTAACGTCACCTACGACAGCCGCTCCCTCATCATTGATGGCCAACGCAAGCTTCTTATCTCTGCTGCCATTCATTATCCTAGAAGTGTTCCTGCTGTCAGTAACTAACTTTATTAATCACTTATTTCTATAATCTACTGCTTCTGCTTATAGGTTTAAATTTAATTATTTTACTTGTGTCATATGATATGTTGTAGATGTGGCCTGGTCTTGTTCAAACAGCCAAACAAGGTGGAGTAGATGTCATTGAAACCTATGTTTTTTGGAACGGTCATGAGCTTTCTCCAGGAAATGTCAGTATGATTAAGTGATTTAAATGAAGTATACGTTTTTAGTAATATATGAAATGTTATCTTTAAATTATTACTTTGTATGTAGTATTACTTTGGAGGACGGTTCGATCTCGTCAAGTTTGCAAAGATTGTTCATGAGGCTAGAATGTACTTGATTCTCCGAATCGGTCCATTTGTTGCTGCCGAATGGAATTATGGGTGTGTCAATGTTTTTTTTCCTATGCTATAGAAGGATTAATTGTCGGCGATGTGATTTGTGAAAGAGAATTAAACATTAACGTAGTATGCAAGAATCAAAGTTGATTACTCTTTCATATTTCTTAACCAAAGTTGTATGTATGTTGCAGTGGAGTACCAGTATGGCTGCATTATATTCCAGGCACTGTATTCAGGACTTACAACCAGCCTTTTATGGTATGTGTGTATGTATGAATCTAGGACTTTGACTATATGAACACTCTAACTTTGTTGTGTCTTCTTTGGTGTTCAGTATCATATGGAGAAATTTACAGCATACATAGTGAATCTTATGAAACAAGAGAAGCTTTTTGCATCACAAGGCGGTCCCATAATCTTATCCCAGGCAAGTATAACCTTAAACATGTTGATTTGTTTTTAGTTTTTTTTCTTTTTCTGATGCCTTTATCTTGATGATATTGCAGATAGAAAATGAATATGGTTTCTATGAAAACTATTATAAAGAGGATGGTAAGAAATATGCCTTATGGGCTGCGAAAATGGCTGTTTCTCAAAATACAAGTGTCCCTTGGATAATGTGCCAACAGTGGGATGCTCCAGATCCTGTGGTAAGATGATAACTTTTTGAGGTTGTTATTAGATTGTGAATTCAAACTAATTTTAGATTCATAGTTCTTGTCTAAAGATGTTAAAGTTTTTGGATTTTGGATCATGAGTCACAATGTACATTATCTTTAATCATTACACATGCTTCTATTTTTTATTAAAGGTTTTTTTTGTTGTTGTTGTAAATAACAATAAATATCTATGCAGTAGGTCACATTTAGATGATAACCTGGTTATTTATGATTCATTTGCAGATCGATACTTGCAACTCATTCTACTGTGATCAGTTTACGCCTACTTCTCCAAACAGGCCCAAAATTTGGACTGAGAACTGGCCTGGATGGTATGTTGAATTAATCTAAAACCCTTTTTCACAACAGTCCATTATTCATATTTTGCATCAAAATTTTCATATCTCCATGTAACAATGTATCTGTAATGACTTGTGGCGTAATGTATGATGAATGAATGTCTGCTGATAGTTCTCTTACTTGGTGGACATGATTCAGAAATACTCTTCACCCATTTTTCTTTGATGATTAAAGCTGAAAAATATTTTATGCTAGTTTTAGAAATTGCTTACCATTGACAATAATGGTTAATGGATTATAAACTCCCAGCTTCTGCAAAAGGCTAGAGATATTGGGCCAGTTTGTTTTGACTTTATATGAAAATGATTTTTATAGTGTTACATAATTTTGTGTAAAAAAATCTTACAAAGAAACTTTTCATAAAAGCTTCAAATGAAAATTTGGTTTGAATAGTTATTCTTAATATGTTATTTTAGGTATTTCATCTTCTTATTGAAAAAATTTTGGATATCAAAATTTCAAAAAATCACTTAATTTTGAAGCTATTTCAAATAGATTTTCATAAAAATCATTTTTGAAGTATATATTTTTTGAATAAATTGCGATTTTGACTATATTTTAGTCTTCAATAATGCATGTTTATGTTATAAGATGTCAAAATTAGTGTTTCAATTTAGAAAAAACTAATATAAAAAAATTTGTAATATTTTGAAAAACGGTTTTGTAAAATCTATTTTAAAAAATACAAAGAAAAAATCCATTTTTTTAAAGCTGAAACAAACTGGTCCATTATCTTTAGGAAATTTATCTTTTGCAGTTTGTGTAGAGACTAAACTGTGACAGCACCTCTCAGGTTATAGCAGTGAAAAGGGACCAAAGGTTTAATATTTTATTCTTATATTAGAATAGGGAATGCATCTCATTTATATTATTCTCTGCTGGGATTTTCTACTAGGTTTAAAACATTCGGGGGCAGAGATCCTCACAGGCCAGTAGAAGATGTTGCTTTTTCTGTTGCTCGATTCTTCCAGAAGGGTGGAAGTGTACATAATTACTACATGGTACAATGGTTTTTTTAATCATGATTTTTCTGGGAGTTACACATTTTTGTATGTCTATCATTAATGAAGACATTTATCTAAATGATATGCGATCTTCATGTTTGTTTTTTTCGTTGAATTTTTTATACTGATCTCTATCATCCTTGCGTGTCAGTATCACGGAGGAACAAATTTTGGCCGTACAGCAGGTGGTCCATTCATTACTACAAGTTATGACTATGATGCCCCAATAGATGAGTATGGTAAATCATCTAAACTTAAGTTCTTATATTTTGTAACATGCTTAAGTTTTATGAATAATAAACATATCATGTAACCACAGGGTTGCCTAGACTTCCAAAATGGGGACATCTTAAGGAACTTCACAAAGCTATCAAGTTATGTGAGCATTTATTGCTTCATGGGAAATCGGTTAATACCTCCCTTGGTCCTTCTGTGGAGGTATTTTCTTTCCCTTAAACAGTTGACTCTCATGGCTGTTATGTTTTCAACTAATGTGAGACTCTAAACATGGGAGAAGGTGTAGTCGCTTTTATTGGCAATTTCTGTTTAGGTTAATGTGGTAATTACTGTATTGCAGGCTAGTGTATATACTGACTCAACTGGAGCATGCGCTGCCTTCATTTCTAACTCCGATGATAAAAATGATAAGACAGTGGAATTTCGAAACGCATCTTATCACCTGCCAGCATGGTCAGTTAGCATTCTTCCTGATTGCAAGAATGTAGTGTTCAACACAGCAAAGGTGGGTTACATCTGTCTCTTATTCCTGCATTCAAACTGGCATCTTTCCTTAACAATGCAACTTTATCATGCATAAGGATTCACAACGACAAACATTAGGGGCTCATGTCAGACTTACATCATAATAAAGGGATAAAAAAAACGAAGATTGTGTTTATATGGTTATGTACTTCTTGTCCGAGTCCTTGCACTTAGTCATGAAAATCAACAGGTTTCTTCCCCGACAAACAAAGTTGCAATGGTTCCAGAGAAGTTGCAGCAATCAGATAAAAGTCAAAAAACTTTTAAATGGGATGTGTTGAAGGAGAACCCAGGGATCTGGGGGGAGGCTGACTTTGTCAAAAATGGCTTTGTCGACCACATCAATACCACCAAAGATACCACTGATTACCTGTGGCATACAACAAGGTTTGTCTCAGGATAGAAAATGGTTAAGAACACAATAATATTGGAACTTGATTGTGTTGATTTTAATAATTTTAAAATGCTTTAGTTCGAGACTTTTTCTGGCTTTTGTTTTCTTTTGGTGGAAATATTGGAACTTTTTCTATTTCACTATGTTCAAATATCAGTATGATTGTTACGAAGAACTTAGAATTAAAATTAGATTCATTCACAAACATCTCTCCATAAATATTTGATAATATTCCTTTCCTTCTTTCTTGAAAGGCTCATTTATATAATGTAATGTACATAAAGGGTACTATTTTCAAAGTAGATATATGCTGTCAATTAAAGCTCGTTTTTGTGTTGATGGCAGCATACTTATTGGCAAAAATGACGAGTTCCTAAAGAAAGGAAGCGAACCAGTTCTTGTAATAGAATCCAAGGGTCATGCTCTCCATGCTTTTGTGAATCAGAAATATCAAGGTTATCCTCTAACTAATAGTAATCGCTTTGCTTTTTATTTTTCATGATTTTAACTTCTTATCGCTTAGGCACTGCATATGGAAATGGTTCACACTCACCATTCACTTTCAAGAATCCCATCTCTCTCAAGGCAGGGAAGAATGAAATTGCGTTATTGAGCTTGACAGTTGGCTTGCAGGTTAGAATTGAAATGACTCTGTAATGTTGTTGTTTTCTCTCCTATCCTTTAAAGGATTTGAACTCTTGTTTCTTTTTCTTTAATGTTTAGACAGCTGGACCATTTTACGAGTTCGTAGGGGCGGGAGTAACAAGTGTAAAGATTAATGGACTTAACAACAAGACGATAGACTTGTCTTCTAATGCGTGGACTTACAAGGTACTTTTCCTCTTGCATTATCATCTTAAAATTGATTTAAATTTGGATCTCCTATTACCTTCTCAATCTTTTAGAGACAATTGACCGTAATATAAGATGTGAACAATGACTTTTGTCGACCTTCGTCCTTTGATCAAGTGTTTCTTCCTTTCTCAGATTGGAGTACAAGGAGAACATCAAAGGTTACACCTGGTAGATGGGTTGAATAATACGAAATGGACATCTACTTCAGAAGCACCAAAAGGCCAGGCACTGACATGGTACAAGGTAATTCCTTGTTTTTTCATCCCAAAAAACATGATCTATTCAGGAGCAATGTGTTTTTTTTTGCTGAAGTATGTTTTAAATTCCATGATCTTTTCAGGCTATTGTGGATGCCCCACCCGGGGATGAACCAGTTGGGTTGGATATGTTGTATATGGGAAAAGGTTTAGCCTGGTTAAACGGAGAAGAAATCGGAAGATATTGGCCTAGGCTAAGTGAATTCAAGAAGGAAGACTGTGTTGAAGAATGTGACTACAGAGGCAAATTCAATCCAGATAAATGTGTCACTGGTTGTGGAGAACCTACCCAAAGATGGTAAGATTATAGGCAATAATAATTTAAAATAGATTTAGTTCCTTTTGTAGAGTATTTTTCTAATTCTTGTTATGGTAAAATAAACATTGTGTATTACCAATGGAACAGGTATCATGTTCCACGATCTTGGTTCAAGCCATCTGGAAATGTTCTTGTCTTCTTTGAAGAGAAAGGTGGTGATCCAACAAAGATTACATTCGCGAGAAGGAAAGTAGTGTAGTGTGTGCCCCAAGCAACAATACCATTTGTTATGACATGTTTTCTATAATATAAAAGAGATTATCCTTTAAATTATAGATATTGTTTGGCTACAATTTTTATAAAAATATAGTACTCCGAAAAATAGGTATACTTTCATAAATAAAAAAAATAGGTAAGTAAAAAGAGGAATACTCTCATAAATCACCGAAAAATAATAAGGAAATTTCTTTGTACACTCTTACATCTTCATAGTCATCTTTGACGAAATTTTTTTATTTTCAGAATTAGGAAATGTATCTCCAAACGCACCATATTTCATTTTTCTAGCGGGATTATAGAAATGCATTTTCGAAGTTTAGAAAAATCTTTTTTTAGGATGAATTTGAAAATGTATTTATGAATACCCCTAATGAACTATTTTGAAAGTACATTTTCGAAATAAACACTAACTGATATAAAAAACAAAAAACAGAAACATTGAAACATTGATATTGAAACATAGAGACACCAAACTAGAAATCTTGAAACATTGATATTACATGGATATTACATAAACAATAACATAAATTAAACATGAAAAGTCGAAATTATATAGATATTGAAACATAAATTTAACATTACATATTGTTATAAACGGATAAACGAGGACGTCGCAACATTTTGATAACATCTTCAGCAGATCTCTGAATTTTTGCATCCAACTCAATCAGACCCTTAGTAGAGTATTTGTGAAGACTACTCCACATAACCTGTATATCGTCATCTGTCTTCAGCTCAATCTTGGTGAACTTGACCTTTCCATCAGTGTCAAGTGATGGTGAACGATATTCGACCTTGACTACCCTCCGATTTTCTAGATATTGCAAGAGAGAGTTGAGTATGGCAATGAGCTCGACAAAAAGCGTATCCTTGCAGAACCTAAACTGAAGTGGCGGCATTGCACCATTGAAATAGACAAAAGTAAGGTGAAGATATGTTTGTGTCATATCTAATTTGTGTTTGTGATATCTGATTTCTGATGTATGATGTTGAAGAATAGGTTTAGGCACCCTATTTATAGAAACATTGGAGCAATGTGATCCTAAGAATTCTTATCATGTGTCAGGGAATTTTTCGGATATACACTTCCGAAACAACCCCTTATATTTAAAAAAAAGGTGTTTTCGGAAGTGTAGTTCCGAAACATTCCCTGATTGTTTTTTTTATAAATAATTCAGAAATGCCCTTCTGAATTATGCAAAGACAGAAAACGAAGTTGACAGAATTAATACCATTCAAAGATAAATTCATAATTTAATCGGAAAAAGTATAAATCGGGCATAATCAAACAATTGTTGCCGATTATTGAAAACCCGATCATTTGTAAATTGATGTCCAACATCTATGTCGACAACAATCGATTTAACATCGTTCGTCACCTCATCCGGCTTAGCATCATTATTCACGTTGTCTGAAACATCCTTGAGAAACAATGTCGGGATGCACCATCTAACACGAACAAAAACATATAAATTCTTAATAATTTTGTTTCTGTAACTGAGGAAGTTTCGGAAATGTATCTCCGAAACAGGTTAGGTGGATTTCGGAAATACATTTCCGAAGTGACACAGTTTTTATCTCAAAAATCAACATCTATGCAAGGAATTTAGAGATGAAATAAGAAATTTTTACCTTAAATTGCAGCTTTCTATGCTCTCTTTGACATGATAAACCACTTGAGCTTCTTTTAGGGACGAAAAATTGATTGAGTATTTGGTGAAGTTTTGGACTTTGAGAAGAAAATGAACACAATGAAATAGTTCATGCAGCTGGTGTACTTGTATGTTTAAATTTAATGTTTTCCTATAAACATGATGTGTTCGGAAGTGCATTTCCGAATTTACTCCAAAATTTCTTATTGATGCATTCGAAAATACATCTCCGAAACATAGACTTAAGGTGTGTTTAGAAATACATTTCCGAAGAATATTTTCAAAAATTCAAAAAAATTTCCCACTCTATAGAGGTGTACAAAAAATTCTCAAATAATTATACATAATATAAACTTATGAAAAGTTGATTGAAAAAAAATTGTCGAGAGATTATTAGAAATTAATTATATTTACAATATAGTGCATTTGTAAAACAAATAAAATAATGATAATTAGAATAAATGGGTAGAAACTAGTGTTTAAAATATAAAAAATATGTTGTCTTTTTAAAGATCGAAAGATGTGTTATGGGAGTTGTCACAGAGAGTTAAAGTGTTAAGGTATAATTGTGTGACATACTAACATTGATTTAAGGACATGGATCCTCTGCAGCATTTTTCCTGCTGCCCTCTCTTCTGTCTTAATCTTAACCATTAGATTACATTGTCTGCATATTAGTTTTTAAAAATATTATTTTGTATTGCCTATAAATCATTGGATTTATAGTTGGATGGTGAGCTGGACTCAAAGGACAGGAGAAGATCCATTTTTCTGATTTAATATATCGTAAATATAGATTTACTATTTTATATTAAATTTGTTTGAAAAAGAATTATAAGAAAATGGCACGAGTGAAAAATATTTAAAAATATAGATATTAAAGAAGTAAGGGTATTGCACGTGTCTCTGATTATATCTCCCTAAATATATGTTTTCATACCATTTATTACGTGCAATTTTTATTTATTTTTCAAAAATATTTTTTTTATTAGTAGTATTTGTTCTGGACTATTCCAATAATTAGAATTGATTCAGTCCGTTTTTTTTCTTCAGCATGGTCCAACAGCTCTGGTCCATTGACTCCGATCTTCGGTCGAGCACGTATGGTCAATCACACCACAAGGCTAGCGAGGATAATGATGCCTTGACTACGCGTCTGTCTGCATCGACGTTGTTGTGTCTCAAAATTTGTCCTCCCACTATTCAAGAACATTCTCCTAGGGTTAGATGTTCAAGAATTGGTCAGACAAATTATCCTCTTAAACAATGAGTCCACAACTAGGGTTTTACTTTTTTCAAGGAAGTTTGAGTTTCTAATGCCTCAAGTGGTTTTCATGGTCTCTTATATGTCTTCAAGAATGCTCATGTCAAGTTTCACGCCTTGGAGAACAAGTTTGCTCAATCAATGACTCAGTTAACTAAAAATTAACTGTATTGGGTAAAAAATCAACTATGGTCAACATAGAGTCAAATCTCAAGATTTTTGGTCAACATCAAGGTTTTTGAGTCATATTCATCATTTGATCAAGGGTTGCTCATGATTCATCAAGAAAACTCTCAAACCATCAAAGGTAAAAAATTACCAAATTAGGATTTTCTTAGGAGAAGTCAACTGAACTTTGATCAAACATAACTTCCACATGCTTCATCAAATTTTCCTCAACCAAAGCTCATTTTGAAGGAAATTCAATTCTCTACAACTTTGTCTCTCTAAGCTCAAGTCCAAAAAATACTTCATTTGAGAGATATTGGCCAATACATTATAGGTCATTTCAAAAGTCAACAAAAAGACACCTTTTGTCAAGGCAACTTACATCAAGATAAAGTCTTCAAAAGCAAAAATGGTCAACATAGAGATTATAGAGGGAAAATTGAGAGAGTTATGACTAATGCAAGTTGGGAAAATTTGAGCAGATGCATGAAACCTAAAATGACCAAACATGAAATTTTGGGTTATTGATTCAAAGTCCAAACGAGTTCTACACTTGACATGAACCTCAGATCTTACTGATGCACGCCTTGACCTTTTATTCTATTTGTTTTTATTTTTTATTCATTATTAATTCAAAATAAATAAGATAAAAACAAGGCTTTTTCATACAAGTCCAAGCCCACTATATCTTGTCCTAATTCAAGCTATATATTTTCAGCAAGTCTGACATGGAGGGCCATGAAACCTTGTACGAGAAACTTCCAAAAATTCACAAAAAATTCAAGAACTAGGGCAAACTCAAAACCCTATTTGCAGCCATTCTCACTCAAAACCAAAGATTAAATCATTCTCCTGAACTTCTAGGAGTTCATCCAAGCCTTTTCCCAAGCCAAATCGTGCCCAGAACAAGCCACACGTGTCACACCAGTATTGGTAAATCTTTCAAACTCAAACCTTTAATTTACGCATTATTGATCGATTTGATGCATATATACATGTTCATGATGATGTTTGTGACTGTTTAGAACCATTAGTTGCAAGCTTTAACGCAGGAATTGAGTTTCACCATGGCTAGGGCAAGAAGATCATGAATATTTGTATTCAATGATACATGCCTTTTTAGGTGAAACTAACCCTACCATTGAGTTTGCAAGATCCAATATAATCAGTCTAGGCTTTTTCTTTTTTCTTTTTGATTGGTTTTGCAGAGTTTTGAAAAAACACCCCATCAGAGATGATGGTGGTTTCCACCTTCCACGGTGGTTTGAATCCTCTGACTCCATTAGCCCTAGGCGTGGCATGTTTCAATTAGCCCATTTGAAATTCTTTGGCCCCACCCTTGCGCACGTGTTCAAGTTTATTTGATTTCTAATTTTTTGATTTAATTTTATTATATATATAGTCACATGTTTGATGCGCAATAACAATTGGCTTAGTGGTGAAGGACATGGTTAGTGATGTTGAAAGTGTGGGTTCGATCCCAGCTTTTGACATTTATTTTTTCTGTTTTACAAACTAACACGCGTGTTTAATATACTTTGATTGATAGTCATACTTAAACACAAATAACACAATGGTCTAGTGGAGGATAGTACGCCTTTTAGACAAAGGGGGTCGGTTCAAATCCCACCCCAGGAAATTTCCTTTTACTAACCCTTTTTCTTATTTATTTCCATTAATTCATTTTAATTTTAATTAAAACCAATAATTAGTAATTAGGGCTATAACTAGTAATTAGGTTTTTTTGGCATATGTTTATTGTTAACTAATTAATTAATTTAGAATTAGGTTTTAATTATATTTTAACATTTAAATTATTTTCTAAAAAAAAATCAAAAACATTAACTTAGAACTTTAGGTCTTTAACATTTTTCCTAACATTATTTTTCATGTCTT